TCTCCCTCTCCCTCTCCCTCTCTCTATTTAGTATTAGCCATTTTTAATGTTAATTATAATAAAATTATAATAAAATTTCCTGCTAACTGTTAATTTTCTGAAAATAATTAAAAAAACAAGGTAGTATATATTAAAAATGTATAACTTTGTCTTTATTATTTGCTTTCATTATATTGTCTTATAAGACACAATATAATTATTTTATTTTATAATACAGACATAAATCAATAAATTTTCAGAAAATTAACCGTTAGCAGCAACTTTGGTAAATATAGCGAATAGGGGACCCAAACTTACAAAGTACATGCTACATTGTAAAGCAAAGTCCACCTGAGGGGGGGGGGGGGGGGGGGGGGGGGGGGGGGGGAGAGGAGAGAGAAAGAGAGAATAACTTGCCGTCATACCGTCGTTACCTCTACCGATCACAGGCTTCACTCTATTCTGTAATAGGTCAATATTAGAGATCAACCCACGGCTATTCCTAATCCAATACGAGAGAACTCGACGCGCCCATCGGACATTAACGCGGATTGTGTTAAAATGTGCTCGTAGAGAAAGGAGCTCCGCCCGAAGATAAAACAAACACGATATGAATGACAGAAGAAGCGTCTTTTCTCGTACACTTCCTTCGAATCTCTGAAGGCCATCTCCATGGCTAAATGCTCTCTTTATAGTTAAACCATAAGACCCACAGAACTCCCGTACGTGAAATTCTATTTATATCTGCGCGGTGTTGAATTTCATTCTGAGATGTCAAGAGATCGTATATATACAAATGGAAAATGCTATTGCTAACGATGTTTGCCATGTTTACCACTGAATGTAAATCGCAAGGCGAGTATAAAAATATTTATTTACATAGTGCGTGAATAATTGATGACAACAAAAACCATTATTCAGTGTTTGAGGCCAACATGGTAAACATTATACTTCTTGTATATTTTTGATATATAAATATAGATTGCGTTGGATGATTTTCAATAATATATGCGACAAAATTTTATAAATTTAACCATTTTCAGATTATTTAGACTGTATTGTGTGATAACAAAGATACGATATCATGCGATACATTATCAAATATAACAGATATGGTATCGTGTCATACAAATATATATATATATATATATATAGCTATGATATAGGATGGAACATAAAAAATATGTAGCTGAATAATAAAACTTTTCTTTCAATAACTTGTGCAACTTCTAAAGTCTAAAGAAATAAATAACTGAAGGAAATGCCACAGAATTTTATAATTTGAACAAAGAAATCATTATTTCTTTTCTTTTTTTGATATTGTTTTAATGAGATATTTTGCAAACCTATTAATTTTCATATTTATAGAAATTGAGACATTTATATGAATACAATAAATATGGCACTGCAGACTCTGAGTTATCTTAAAGATATAAATTACACATTCGAATCTCACCTGAGGCACTTGTGTGCTTTTACCACAGCCTGTTTCGCCCACTAGAACCAAAGTCTGATATTTCTCCAATAAATAAATAATATGATCCTTATTTTTAAATATAGGCAATCGTTGACGCTGCATGTCAAGTGCAAGTGAATGATGCGCATTGTAAACAAATTGTGTTGACGAATGGGCATCGATATCAGGCTTATCCTCTTGCCACGTACTTTCTCCTAATTAATAAAGTTGCTGAATGAGTAATTGATGCCTTTTTTTACAACTTATAGATTGCAGATAACATGAATTATTTTCTAATGTATTTTCATTAAACTACATAGATTAGATTCAATTACAAATCTTCAAAATCATGTCCGAAATGACAATATAATCATTATTTACCTCGATCTGACATACTTTGCAAATCTTAATATTTTATTATATAAAAACAGAACATAATTCGATGAAATTGTAATAAAAATTTGACTAACATAACCTTACCTGGTTTGGAGAAAAACGGCCGCAACATTTTCAGAATTTGAAACACACGTTTTAAGAGAAAATTTTTATATCATTAAACGAAGAATTATAAATTGTTCAAATAAAATACAATTAAATATAATTGCATGTCAGTACTATGCAAGTGTCTAATATATTGTCTAAAGTCTAAACAATTACAATGGCAAGTTTTCACTCGTATGATAGATGGCTCTTGCTTTGTCGCTTAAAATGGTCACCCGCGAATTTTATTAAAGAATATCACTAACAATGATCACACGAAATTATATATAAAGTTAATATCTGTATATGTGAGTGATATTCTACTGTCATATATATTACACAAATGCGTTTTATTCAAAATATTTCCTTTTTCATGTGTCTGCAAAATAAATATAACATAATTTCAGCAAGTATTCAAATTGTGTGAATGAAAAAAGTGATACACATAGTCTTGTATATAAATATATTAATTATGATATTTTTGAAAAATCTTATGCCTATATTATCACTGTACAGGAGGAAATAATATTTTATACAATATAGAGAACCATCTTTATTTGTATTAGCTGTTGAACACATTTTATCATTTCAAATCTTAAACATACATGTTATTACCTCCACTGATTGACAATTATATTTATTACAAGCAAAATAATGTTGAAAATTATACAAACTATTGTCATTTGACTGAGATACTTCTGCGATAAATAAAATATTGGAACTTTTGAAACTAACATAACATTATACAAACGCAACTAAAAAGAAGTGATAACTTGTCTGACAATTATCTAATAATTTTGGATATAACTTGCAAATCAATAGCTAATCTGAATTTAATTAAGTCAATCAATTTCAAGATTGTGATAATTTTTCCGACTTTGTGGCAACTACGATTTTCATCAGACTATAATTTTCTAATACGTCATTATCAAAATTCAAACCAATTTTTTTTACTCATTAATATTTCTATACATACAAAGATACATTAGGCGTCATTAATGCCTTCTCGCCTGAAGATAGCCGCTTTCGAGTCCAACAAAAGCTAGACACGTTGCGTCTAGTTATTTGTGTATCATGACTGTTGGTTAAAAAAATATTCCCGTAATTAATATGTTTATATATATATATATATACACATATATACATATATATATATATATATAAAATCCTTAATTTCTTCAAGTGTATAATATATTCTATGAGACATATATACATACATACATATATATATATATATATATATATATATATATGAATATAATGGATATGAATATGTACATATAAACATGTTACAAAATATATACACAATTGCCTTACAATTAGTAAAAAATTGTATGCATTATTAGATATAACAATTTTAATATTAAAATATATTATACATTTTATCTCTCTAAAAAATAGTTGCACAAAGAAGCGTTGTTTTAATATGTTATTACTAAAATCTTTCTTTTCTACAAATGTAATATGAAAAAATTGCGCTAATTGGTAATAAAAATAATTATACAGAATATAAAATTTAATTTAACGCGTACGATTGTGTATTTTTTACTAATTGTAAAGCATTTGTATATATATTATTCTATACACAACTACGACGCGATGCATCTAGCTATTATTGGACTCGAAAGCGGATATCTTCAGGCGAGAAGGCATTAATGACGCCAAGAGTACAATGTATGAAAACCGAGATAAAAGACAAATTATGTGTATACTGCACGCCTTGTAAGAAAAAAATTATGCAATAAAAAGAAATATATTTTAGTTTTTAAAAACGACCACACACGTTTTAGAAATCATATAATAGATCTCTTTTGGAAAGTGATTTCTTGAAAAAAAGAAAAAAAAAATTATTTTTGCATAAACACATATGTGCTAGCAGAATTTAATGCACGATAGTTTACCTAAAGTCTAAACTGTCCAGTTTTTCTTGTAAAAGTTACAGTTTACATAAATAAAATATTTAAATATGCACGTTTAATGTCAGCTATAGAAATGACGCTCTCTTAACAGTTTCTTATCGGCGAACAGTCGTAACATTACAAGTCATAATCTATTTTCGGGAATGTATTTTGATTCGCAGAAAAATATCCGTATTCTATCTCCAATGTATAATCCAAGGTGTGTGTGTCTATATGTATAAGCTACAATATGTGTCTGTGCGTCGGAAACAATGAGGACTAGCAGTAGGTGGAAATATTATGTTGCACAATGTACCCATTTTCCAGACACCGCACACTATCGTTTGTCTCTCTTGATGAATTAGAAATATATTATTTCTAAACATTATCAGTATACTTCCTTATTTTAGGATTCTAACACTAAGTGAATATATAATATGTATGCAGTGGATGCCAGTACAGAGAGAACACGGTTTGTTTAAGCTTTACATTAATCACATGTAACCATGATTTTTTGATAAATGTTAGACTCGTTTCGATATTGCCAATTTATTATAAGAAATACTGTGAGAGACACCCAAGCATCCTGAACACAGAAAGTCTTTAATGCAATAAACGTCGAATGTTCCTTTTTCTGTATTGTTTTTTTGCTCTTATATGCTTGCTATCCTTTTTTCGAAAATGCACAGATGATCTGCCCTGGCTTCACACTCAATAGTTAAAATTGCGTCTATGGATTAGGTCTGTCTGTCAATAATAAACATAAGAGAATATTAGGCCGTGGCCTCCTCCGCGTCGCCGTTATTCTCGGCTTCGACACACTTCTCGTCGAGTCTCGATTTCTTCTCGGGACTCGCGCCATCCTGTGCATCTTCTCCTGCATCAGCCCCAGCCGTTGATTTCCTCTTTACGCAACAGCTATCGGCAGGAGCATCTAAAATTAAATAAAAAAAAGAAATATATTAATTACTACAGGTGCTTTTCTTTGAATTCTAGTTATGCAACAACAATGTCTTTTAATAATACATACCTGTAGAGTCTCCGTTTTCCGTAGATTCTGCTTCTTTCTCATCAACCTCTTTCTCCTCGCTTGAGCCATTCTCTTTGGTTTCTTTCGTGTCACCATTTTCAGATGCTTTCGAGTCTTCATCAATAACTTCCTCTTCCACTACTTTCTCCTCGACTACTTTCTTTTGAGGGGTAGTGACTTTGGTTTCCCTGAAAACAATAAGCAATAATATAAATACAGCATGTTCTATATGTAACAAAAAAAAACTTAAAAAATTATAGACATTGCTTCATATGAGAATATAGAAGCGTTGCTGGTTCGAAATTTAAAGCTGAAATTGTTTGCACTACCTAAAATCGAGAACCACGAGAATGAAAGACCCTTGATCTTAAAGCTGTCCGTGAACAGCAATTTCTGGTTATGGATTGGAGGAAATAGTAAGTTAAACAGTGGTGAGGGATTGCTATCTTATTGGTTTGTACATTTCTTTTAGCATCACGTTAACAATAGTCCTCCTATATCCCTTGTCTGATTTTGAATAAGTTTAATTTTATTCCATAAATATTATGATATGCCATTCTAGATGAAAGTTCCATATTCGATTCTAGATCTAATTAATTTTCCATAAATATTAAGTAATAGGGTAGGACTAAAATCCCTACCAAGTAATTCTCAAGAATTTTAAGAGATTTATAGGTTTGTTACAGCTACATATAGGTTTGCTATCACAGACTTTTTCGATATGACTGTTAAGGTTATTTCGGAATGTTATGGACAGTTGTAAATCAAACCTAGAAGGGAGTCTGCTAAAGACACAGTTGGGATTTTTTCGGAGCCAACGTCAAGCTTAGCTTATCAAGCCAATCCGTTGTAAAGTTGATTGTATTTTTTTAAGCCTTTAATAGCATTTTGGATAAGTTTATCCGCAGTATACACACAAAAGTCGTCTGTGAATCGTAGAACTTTGATAGTGGGCTGGCTCTAGCTCTCAACGAAATAGAGATAAGGACGCCGCCAACTGTGGCGACACCTAGTGAGGTTAATATTATCCTCCCTTCCTCTTTTCCCTTCGCGTCGCCGGTCACCAAACAACCATCGCCATTACTATTTCTACTACTACACTACCATTACTACCATTACCACTACCATCGCACGTTCACCACAATCCACACCGAAGGCTTCAGCGTGGCGAATCGTGCTTATGTATGGTATATATGTATGTACATATATAATACATAACGTGCAATATACACGCGTTCTCTTTATATGTTCCCTCTTTCAACATCGGTCTCTTTACGCGTGCGTAGAAACGTAAAGGATGCCGTTATCCCTAACCGCTATTATTCGTCTTGAAAGCAGCATTGAAACCGGTATATCATTGATTAAAGATGGATATAAATATATAAATCTTCTCTCTCTATCTTTTTCTCGCGCGTTTTTCAAGCAAGATCAAAATTTTTGGCCTCACCGATTATATCGTGTATGTACTTGGCTCGGCGGAGGATTTCCGCGGGAAATATCGCGCGATAAATAACCGCCTATCGTCGTCGTCGCGTTATCTTTAGGGACGTCTAATCGACGCGAGCCGGCAGATCGATACGTCGTCGACCGCTTTCAGGTCGATGCGCGTGGCGGAGAAAGGGACCGGCGGCTATACGATGACGATTTCTCCCGACGTTGAGAGTGAACGAGAAAGTCACGTGAAAAAAAAAAAAAAAACATTGTTTTCTCGCGACAGGAGAGGGATCGTTCACATGTATTTGTTCGTCCTCGACGAGAATGGTTTACACGGAAAACATATGCATGTATTGCGCGTGTACGATTTGTTTGTTTGTATGAATATATGTATGCGCGCGCGTGCACGTATGTAATCTATATAGACGACGTAAACAAACGAGCGAAGTGGTCGAGCGCGAGGGACAAAAGGAATACGAGGCTCGCCGATCGGCGACGATGCGCTCGTCTTCGATCGTGCGAGGGCGGGCGGTCGCGAGGGGGAACGCTGAGTAGAAAGAGAGAGAGAGAGAGAGAGATAGGCAGAGGATCCGGCGCGGGGACGGCGATGAAGCCGCCATGAAATCGCCGCAAGTAGAGCACGCGTCGCGCGCGCAGAGGCGAGGGCAGGTAATTTCCAACGATCGTTAGGCGTACCGCGAATCGGCCCGAGAATATCGTCGCGGTGAAGATATTGTAGAGAGAAAGAGAGAGGGGCAACGCTCGATCCTCCTCCCGCGCGAACCGCATGTCGCCCCTTCCTCTTCTCGTGATCGCCAACCTTTCTCGCAACGGTCCCGCGAGTATCTTCGCGATAATTTGAAAGCAAACGAGCAAGGGCGACGAGAAAATAACACGAATGACGATAACGATGGCGACAATGATAATCCCGGAAAGAGAAAAACCGACGGACGCAAGATCGTCCGATCGAGCGCAAACGTGATCTCGTGCGCGCCAAAGGGAACCGACGCCGTACGCGCACGGTCGCGCGATTTTTTCCTCGTCGACGAATCGATACCGTGTATTTACGCACAGGTGGACGCATGTATATACTCACTTGGCCTCTGTGTCCGCCATATCGATCGATTTGATCGCGAGAAATTCACGCACGAATAGCACCGAACCCGTAAAAAGCACACTTCTCAACCGACACGGCGGTTACGCGTCTTCTACGCACCGGTAAGCACACGTCGAAGATTCCGGTAACACCGCTGCCGCGTACCGACGCGCAAATGGCAGAGGGAAACGCGCACTGATTCGCCCGAGACCCGAGCGACTCCGGCCCGGCCGGCGGGCCGGCGGCCTTCAAACGCTTTTCTTTCCCGCTCGTTTACAGATGGCGCGCCCGTCGCGTCGCTGTCTCGCGTGCGCGCGCGCCGTGCTCGCGTCTCACTTCTCGCGTCTACAAAGGAAATCGAGCCTTCCCGACTCCCGATGCCAATAGACGGAGACGTGTAGAAAACAAGAAATAAATATATATTTCACGTTATCACGTTGTATAATATCGTCATATTCATATTTTATTATCAACGTTATTGTATCTATGTATATGGTATGTTTTTGGTATTATGATATTATAATATTTTTTTTTTTTATCGAATGTAATCGAGAAGAAAATGGATAAGAAATATATAACGCGTACACACTTGCTGTTGAATTTAATTTGACGTTTTTTATTTAGTATAATAATTTTAATAGTTTTTTATATTGTATAAAGATACATTTCTTTATTAGTGAAAATGTAAATGCGATTATTGAGATGTGGGTTAACATTTTTCCATAAACCAACTAAAGTTGTGTCGGTCAATTCCTAATTCCTATATATCGATACGTTCATTGCGAACCTAACCGTTATATTTATTCCTGTTCCTCATATCTTATTCAGTGTGTTCCGTCTTTACCGCCGTTATCGTGCGATTCTTCTATCGCGTGTAACATGATTTGTAAAAATATCGCTCGCATTAGGTATACTGACTCTAAGCTTTACGAAGACAATCTCGGAATTCATTAGTAAAATATATTTTTAAGGATATCGATTATTTTTTTCGAATTTCAGGAAGAGACACGGACGTCGCAGTTATATCTTCGAAGCGAGGTTTACAGTGTACAGTGGAGGATACGAGAATAGTGATCGTAGGTGACAGTGAGTAGAGTCAATGTTACTAGTCAAAGTACGCTACACATAAGAGAGAGATCACGTTCGAAAGCATCGGCGGAAACGTGTTACGATTACCATCCATGCCAACGCGATCGAAAGCGAGTAAAATAAAGGTAATAAGACGTCGCGCAAACGCGGCCATTCAATTATTCGCGGCGCAAAGTTCGCTCCATCAACGAAGGTAGCGACACCATTTCGATGCCTCGACGATATTCCCCTTCTCTAGCCGCGTCCCTTCTACCCGGAACCCGGAACGTCCACAATTACAATTACTCGTTTAGCATCGAAAAATTCGTACATTTCCGGCGATTTATTTTTTAAGTCGAACGAATCGTGTAATTCGCTTGGCACGATTGTGCGATTTCATGCCTCGTCGAATAATTCGCCGCATCGATTAGATCGTCTCGTTCGCTTGTAACTCGAGGCTCGAGTATTCGACAATCGCGTTTATGCGCGGCGTGCTTGCGAAAGTTCTAGAAGTTTCGCGGCATGGCAGCACTTCCGGTGTGCGGGAAAGGTGCGCGACGAGCGCGACGTATCGTGCTGCTCGCCGCCTTCAAGTCCATGTTACAGGTTGCTCTCGAACACGATAAATGCGAGATTTTCCTCGTAAGGCTGCAATAACGTTGCGGGTCGCCGGAGAAATCGGCCCTCTCGAACGGACACTCGATCTCTTTTTAGAAACAGGTTGCGGTTACGTATAGCTATCCCTTAGGCCTTAGGCTTCCGCTTTCTCGAAGAATCTTTTATCGCGGGATATCAATAGGAGAGAAATATCGCGAAAAAGCGTATATATATTATAATAACTTCTTTTGAAATTAATATTTATTCAGGACGTAATTATGTTATCATTATAATAATCGTGCCTTTTAAGGCGAGTCGTTATTAGTTACGGTAATTAATTCGACGATTAATCGTGTGATAGCTGAATGTTTGATAAATGTAAAAATTGAGCAAGAATACAAGGAAAAATTTATTAATTTATTTTAATTTAATTCCCACGAGAACATAATATAAAAGATATCAGAAGAGGAATTTATATTCTAAAGATAATATATTTTTTTAAAAAGCGTTCTCTCTCTTTGAATTATTTATATAACATGTTGGAATACTTTTTATTAATCGTCATCGCGAGCCCGCGCAATTTTTGGCTGTGCCACACTTGTAGCAGCGTGCCTTTTCGTCCGTTCCGTAAATACATTTTTTGTTCTGGCACACGTGCTGGCAGTCCACGTAAGCACGAAGATAACCAGAGCGAGCAGCAGCTGCCGTACAGGTGAGGCGAGGTGGCCAGATGCCTCCTTCCGAGCATCTTTCGACGAAATCGACTCGATCCGGACGTATAGGTCCGCTCGAAATTTTCAACCAAACTTTCACGGGGGAAAGCAATGTCGAATACGCGTGCGTTTATAAGAGTGTAATGTTTGCTCCTTTTCGTTCTTTAGCTTATCTTTGCGCGTTCTCTCTCTCCCTCGTTCCCTCTTTCTCTTCCTTTTTCTCTCCCACGTGTTTTCGTCGAGACAAATTTGTAGCAGTGGCTTGCCTCCTTTTTTTTTTATTTTGGAATCCTTACGTAATCATCGCTTGTGGCAAGCCGTCGTAATAAATTAATGACATTTGCGTTGATTATATTGAGGATTATCTGGCTGTCGATACAATCGCTTCACGGTGGTGGGCTTGCTCTAAAGTCGCGGGTATTCGATAAGAGCCGAGCCCGTTTTTACTGGGTCAGTGGATGTGCCCGCCTCGACCACGGGTCTATTCCGACGACAGTAACCTATATTCGCTTTTGCAGTATCGAGACCGCTAAAGATAGCAGTGTGGGACATCTAAATTTTCATTTCGCTGGACCAAATTTCCTCTTTGCGTCGGCGATACGTCGCTCTTATTAAAATGCACTTTGCCATGCACTTTCGGGTCTAGGTTTCCAAATGGTAATTTGCGCTTACTCTTTTGCAATAGAGAGAGAGAGAGAGAGAGAGAGAAATAGGAAGAGAGAGAGACAAAAAGCATTGGGAGACCTTTAGCATCTGATCCTCTCCCTCGGCCATTCGGCCATTCGCCGACCAGCCAGCAACGGAAATACTTATTTAACTGCACGTGGTGTGGACGCCACATACATTCTCTCTACCTCCGTTTTCATCTTCAATCAAGTCGCCAATCCGCACCCCGGTTTATCTCTCGGGTGGTTATCGCGTATATTTTTGTCACATGAGAGAAAGAGCTCAGCCGCCGTGAGTAACAACAGAGACTTCTATCGATATCTCCGCAAAATTTGAAATTTTCATAGATCCAAGTGAAAACCTGACGTAGTGTAAAAGTGTTTCGCTGACTCTTTTGTAAGAGAGAGAGAGAGAGAGAGAGAGAGAGAGAGAGAGAGAGAGAGAAATCAGAATTAGAAATGGGAATATACCGGCAGTGGTCGACATATATTTCCAGTGGGGCCTACATACGAATATACGCTTATTAATAGCGCCCCGAATAAATACCATCTCAAGGATACGAGCACAGTATTGCGTTTTCGTGACGATCTATACAAAGTCTTCGTGAAAGCGCGCGCGAAGCGTAAAGGAACCTATTAAATAATTCGCATGTAGAGTATATAGTGTATTACAAGGGGAGCTGGATCTTAAGGAAAAGTTCTTCAAAAGATAGATTTTGTCTCGTTGTAAATTAAATTTCTGTATATTGAGATGAGGAGAAAACGAATAAAAAATATTTGAGTCAACCATGTATGTTATTAAGATAATGAAATGTATCTGCTAAATTTTTCGGAATAATTAAACATTTTGTAGAAGATCTACATTTTTGGTAAATAATATACGAGAGAGAGAAAGAGAGATACTCAAGAGAATTGAAAAAACAATTCTTTTTTTATAGTCATTATTGTAATCGTAGAATTATTATATATTTATGAAATTTGACACAAAACTCTCGAAGAAAATTTTCTATCTGTATTTTTATTGCTTTAGTCTTTAGTTTTATTACTTTACATCCTATCTTTTCTCCGCGAGATGTTCCACGTAAGAAACTAGCGTGCTTCCCTTCGACAAATTGGCTCGCTGCTTCGGGTCATGGAATCAATAGAGAGCGCGTGGACGCGCGCATCCTGTAGGGTAGAATCAAACCGGGCTTAACCCTAAACAGTACAAGCAAACTCCCACAGGTCCTTTGTGTATCTCCAACAATATTGGAACACGCAAACGGCAGTGGCATACATGCAAATTATGTGGGCTATCTTTGTAATAAACAAGAGAGGCACGTGACATAAAATGCACAAATAATACACATACATATGAAAAAGCATATTGTAAAAAAGAAGATTTCAAATCAAATTAAGGACGCGTATTATAGGACCATTTTATATTTAAATAATTATAAAAATGTATGTCCAAAAGTAGCAGTTTTTAAACTGTAAATTTATACATCTGAAAACTGACGTATTATTTGTGATGTATTATTAGAATATTATCTATTTCTTCAGATATAAAACATATTTTTCTCCTGTACTGTCAAGTCACAGTAGATTGCCCATTTCCAAGATGTTGATACATCTCATTCGATAAACCAATATTTTTTAATCTATATCGCGGCGTGATTAATCAGCCAGTTATTATTATAGTCGCCGTTCGACTGTATAAAGTTCTCGACGTAGATACAATTTATATATACGCCACGCATACATATCCTGCGGTCTGCCTTTATATCCAGCATGGCGTTCACAACACGGCGGTGTATCATACGAAAATGCCGCGTGTGTTCTGGCCTGACCCGATCGTACCTTTTGGACTCGCGGGCAACCGGTTCGCGTTTCGTCCCGTTCTCCCCTCGCGTCCCGTCCTCATCCCATTCTCTAGGCCACCCCTATCTCTCTCATTTTTTTTTCCTCCCTCTTCCTCCGGCTTTCCTGTCGGTTGACCGTTCTAAAACCGCGCCGCCTCTGTCTACAGTTGGGAACTAATCGGCAAAGGATTATCACAGGTCAGCGGGTGTTCAACCTTCCGTACACCTACCTATCTACCACGGTTCGATACCGCGATATCCGGTCGATCATTATTAATAGACCAATGCCGTTGTCGCCGGTAACGACGTCGTCGCCGAAACCCTCGCGTT